GTTCAATTTATTTTTCTGAATTTGTGACCCTCTGTATTGGCTGTCAAATCTGAAAAGCTTTAGCCTTTTTTCCTGTAATTAGATAAAAGTTTTTATTTGTTAGATCCAGCTTTTGATTCCTTAGGGTTTAAATTAGAGATCCCCAATACTTTTGTAATAGATATTTTTATTTGTTTTTTTCCCCCTAAAAGACATTAACTAATGTAAAAAGGATTTTAAGATCTAAATCTATTGGACTAGTGGGTTTGAAGTTCAGTTGTGTTCTCCAGTTATTTTCAGCTGATAATTGTCTAGCATTATATAAGCCATATTATGATGTTGCTAAAATCAATGCAATTCATAGGGATAATATTATTTGTTATGCTAGAGATGAATAACACCTGTATAACTAATAGTGAAGAGTTTAATACGAAGAAAAGTTTATTGTAGAAAAGATCCAAATCCACCAAAAATTAGCGCTGGAAAACTATTATAGTAAAACTGTTTCTTTACCCCTCCTTATGTTGACGTTTTGCTGATAACACCCTAACCTAACTTAATTCCAAAAAACCTCCCTGAAATTTGAGGATAGGGTGCTAAATCATATCCGTATCCGAGAAAATATCCATAATCATATGTGTTCCCTGAAATTTGAGGATAGGGTGCTAAATCATATCCGTATCCGAGAAAATATCCATAATCATATGTGTTAGGATGCAAATATGGTTCCTCAAATCTATAATCGATATGTTATACTTGCAGATGTGGTTTTGTAGTGTAGTATCCGGATCAGTACACGAAATATCTGAATACATATTTTTCATATTGTTACAATAGTTTTTATTCTTAGATTATGCATTTGAGGTTAAGCTTAAAGACCAAGATGCCTAATCTTAGCTTTTTAGATATAACAAACATTAATTAACTCTTTTGTATCACATGAACTATAATTTTTTTAATATTATCTATTATTCTTATATCCATTTTGTATTGACATGTATATCCGCTTATATATATTCGCATGTATATCTGCATCCGTTCCGATTTTAGCGGATATTGATATAAATTTTTCTTATCGGGCTATATCCATATCAGTATCCATGATGGGTAAGCAAATATGAATATGGTAAGTATCATATCCGAGCCATATCCGGACCGAGTGCATCGTTAAATTTAGCACATAACCCCCAAACTTCGTTAATTCCACTAAGCCCTTGAATGTTTTTCATTTTAACCCCACAAAGTATCGCAATCAAGTCTAACTTGTGACGAGTCTAACACATTATCATAGAAGGCGAAAATAATCCTCATCCCTCAAATAATCACTCTTTATCTTCCATTGATTTTTTTTATAGCTGAGGCGAGGTACTTTCGTCTTTTAGTCATGTGCGTAGCACATTACATGTTGGAGTTCTCGGTATTAGACCCTGGGGGGTTAAACTGAAAACTCATTAAAGGGATTTAATGGAATAAGAAAAGTTCAGGAGTTTATATACGAAAACCCTCAACATTTGAGGGCTTGTGAAACTAAAATAGTTAAGAGGTTATCAACAAAACCTCCCACATATCAAGAGGTTTTCTGAAATCAACCCTTGTTTATGTATATTTTAATATTCATTCTGCTCCCGGATCTCTTAGTTCTTTTTTATTTAACAAGCTTCCTTTATCATTGTACATTATCGGCATATGCATATGTAGCATGAACGACATTTTTTACAAAATTAAACTGTTCAAACTCTTATAGTTCATGTAGATGTAGGAGTTGTAGCTGAAGCAATTTCAATTGTTTTTTTATTTTAAAGATTTTTCATATTTTTTTCTCAGTATAGGAGTTAGTTTTTGCCAATTTCCTTTCCATAATTCTATAAATCATGTAATTTTAGTTTTTGAAAGTCTTTTCAGTTTTAACTGGACAATGCAATCTTAGATTTAGAAGCGTCTTTTTCTGTTTAAAGCAATCATCTTGTCTTGGATAAACACTTTTTTCCTTGTCAATGTTGCTATTATAACTTTTTCCCCTCCTTATTTTGTGCTATATTTTAACTTATTATTTATGTACTTAGCACTGAGTATATCTTTTTTTTAATTATTTCCTTGTGTTTTATCCTTTTTCAGGAATATTATAAATGAGTTCATTGGACAGACTCCCCATCGATATTTTGGAACTAATCGCTGAAAAATTAGCTGATCACGCAGGCCTTCTCCGGTTTGGTGATATCAGTAGGAAATTTCGCTCCATTGTTGTGGACAACCTTCATCTGCTTCCGTCAAAATTACCTTTGTGCCTCTGTGTCCTCCCTAGTAAACCACCTCCCCTTCCATTGCTAATGCAATGTCGCGACAACGAGTGGGAAATGACCAACTTTTTTTCTCTCTCTACTGGACGAAATCACGGGGAGTTTTTCGTGCCAGAAATAAGAAACAAGTGGCCTGCAGGATCCTCTCATGGTTGGTTGTGCATAGTGAATACCCACGGCCGAGACATTCAGCTCTTGAATCCATTGACTAGGGTCCAAATCCCTCTCCCATCTCTGGATGCATTCGAACATCCTAAAGGCGGTTTCGCAGATGGAGATCATGATGATTTTGGATTTGTAGAGAAGGCTGTTATATCATCAGATCCTTCAAAGAAGAGGGGAAATTTGGATGATGATGATGGTGATGATCGCATATTAGTCATGGCAATCATCTCTCTTTCTCATGTGCTATCATTTTGTATGATAGGAGACGACAAGTGGACTAATGTGGAGGATTCCCCGCTTCATCTCACTGATGTTGTCTACTACAAGGGTCAGATTTATGCTGTTAATTATGAGGGGATAGTCGTCGTTTATGATTTTTCAGGCGACAAGAAGATGAAACAAATTGCAAATTCACCGGATTTCTTGTGTCCAGCTCAGAGATATTTGGTTGAATCAACATGCGGTGACCTGCTGCAAGTTGTATGGGTGTACGATTTTGAAGGTACGTGTAAACAAACATCTGAGTTTTTGGTGTACAAGCTTGAAGCTGTTGATGAACTCATTGAGCCTGAGGAGTACCCTGTGTACTACACCATCGGCTTCAGAAAACCAGAGGGGCAAATTCAAGTTTAAGTGGGTTAAAATGGAAAGCTTGGGTGATCAAGCGTTGTTCCTAGGTCAGAACTATTCGCTTTGTGTACAAGCATTAAACTATCAAGGATGCAAGCCGAATTGCGTATATTTTACAGAGCACGGTTTAGGGCAGAGAAACATTCCACGAGGGCTTGTTGAAGAGGAGGAGATGGATGAATGCTGTTTTTGTGATATGGGAATATATGATTTCGGTGATAAAAAGTTTCAAAGGTTTAACAAACTAGATGACAAGTACCCAGTTCCGCCCACGTGGATATCTCCAAATCCATGGTAGATTCATGCATGATTCATCATTTCTATTTAATTGCATGCCAGATTAGATTTCCATTTATATAGTGTGGTTGATTAAATTATCTCGAGATTCAGTTGTATGTTTATTGAAGTATTACTTTTGTTTGTGCGTTAGTATGTGAAAATTTGTATTGTTGGCATGTGATTGGTGAAATTTTTCATTTTATATTTACAGATGTATATACACACTCATTTAGTACTAAGTAATTACTTATTAATTACCTAGCTTAATGTCCTGCAACCTTCCGCATCTTCATTGGAGAGAGCCTTCCAATGAGCCTGGACTTGAGAGAGCAGGATATTGCTAAGCCAGGTAGTTTTAGACATGGCTAGACGTTGCAATTAGTTATCTTTTTTTAGTACAAAGGGACTTTCAAGATGTACAAGACCGTTGCCAACGCAGTCTTCATAGATATAATCATTTTCTTATTCTGTATTTATAAAAAACAATTAGAGAATACAGGTCAACAATGTCTATTATAAATTATACAAATACCATCATTAAATATGAGTTTTGACGATTTTGAGGTTAGCTAAAACTAGTAAAAAAGAAGGATAAAAAAATCGAATTATAATCTCAAAACTACTTTGAAATAAGTATTACTTGTGTCCTATATAAAAACTTTCAAATTTACTTGTATCATGACTAATAAACCATAAACCACAATAAAGGAAAAAAGATAATAATTTGACATAATATAATCACATCACTAGTCATATACCCATACTTCCTAATCTAAGCCGTCACGGACATGCCTTTCTAATGAAAATATATATATATTTTCATTAGATGAAATGTGACGATCAATAAAAGAGTCATAAATATCCGAGTCTTCCTCAACCTCCTAGGCGTCCCTTTTACCTCGAACAGCCCGCAATCAGCCAAGAAAAGCGGAGCTGTGGTAGTAAAAAGGATGTAGGATAACGTCAGTCACGTCGTGTCAGAAGAGACTTTTCAGTTCTCATTCAAAGCACCCACGTCCATCCAAAGTAATTTTTTATTGTATTTCACTCGGACATGGCTAAAGCCGACTCCAAGCGAAATGGGCCAACTGTTATGGTATTCTCACTCGCCTAAATACAACTTATTGTTAAGTGACAGACCAGTGTATTACCGCAGACAAGGCCCCAATCAAGTTAGTGGTCCAGGCCCATCAAGGGTTCTGACTTAGCCGACTCGTCGAGTCGATATTCTTCATGTCGACTCGAAGGGCGGTACCAGTCGACCCTCTCGTCGAAGACGATTCGCCAGGAGTCCACTCTACCATTTGTTCAACGCCTTGCGAGGACAACTCTATTGGCGTTACTTCTCGGCAAAACTAAAGGATAATATCTGCCTCGAGCTTCTCCCTCTGGCAACGTGTCAGCATCGCGTTCAACACTCATCAGGTGCCATCATGACTCTAGCACCGATAGTCTTCATGACTCATCGAGCCACGTCAGCACCGTTATACCTCTGATCATTTCTCATTTAATGTCGAAGTGATCCTTCCCCCTCCTGCCGACACCTGTAAAGTAGATGCTGACGCAGCCGCCAGCCCACACTTCACCACCGCCTCTCAGTACTCGGTCGAAGTGACCAATCTACCATTCTACCCATAGTATATATACAGGTACTATTCAAACTTAAAGGGGATCCAAAAATTGTTCTGAAACTAGTTAACCACAACCTTTGAAACTTGTTCATATTAAATATTCTTTTATCATTTTTACTCCACTTGGATTTTTTCGAAGTGGGTACAATATAAGCATCTTCAAAAACTTCCTATAAATCGAATTGTCTAGATCTAACAAATATATTAAATCTAGAGCACCATTGATCATAGGGGAAATCATCTATTTTAGGAGCAATACTTGGATCATAGCCTAAACAAAACATATTCATGATATATATATATATATATATATATATGAAAATATGCAAGCAAGACAAAAGTAATCATAACTAGATTAGCACAAAACCATTGGGCATAGGGGAAATTATCTAATCTAGGAGCAATATTGATGGCATAACCTAAACCATGCATATCCATAATATAAAAAGGCAAGCAAGATACAATTAAAGCTCAAAAATAGATTAGCACAAAAAAGATAACTTGGATCTTTAACTCAAGGCGATTAGACTTTAAATCAAAGAGCACCAAGCTCTAATACCAATTGTTAGACCCTAGGGGGGGGGGGGGGGGATTAGGGTCTATTGCTAATCTAATCCGATTTTATGCCAATTAAAACTTATTAACAACTATATTCTTGCAAGTATGATATACAACTAATTATAAGCAAGAATAACCAATATACAGAAGATGATATATCCTAGCATGGGATATATATATGTTATATGCAAGGATATATAAACTGTCACAAGGGAGAAACAAACTAAACAAGATAGTGGAAAAGATAAACAACAAGCAATATGCAATGACGATATAAGATATGAACATAAGAATAGGTGCGCCAATGCAAACTCGAACACACAATATGTTCACGAGGTTTGGACCTTCCGTTCTACATCCCCGCTCCCCACTCTCAAGGAGAATCCACTACACAACCCGGTTTGGAAGCCGAAACTTCTCTATACACTCAGTTTTCTAGCTAACCGAAAACTCTACACACTCGGTTATAAAGTCAACCGACAACTCTCACAAATCCTCACAATGTACATACACAAGCTACAACCTGAAGTGCTGGTCCTCACGTATCGACTCCCTCAAGTGCTCAGAATTATCACCTCTCACTAGCCCACCGACGCCACTCCTCTCGGTATCAACTCCGTCCTCACCACACACTCCTCTCGGTGTACAAGTGTATTACAAAGTGAACTTCACAATTAAAGGCTCAACAAAAGATTTGTTCTCTAATATGGATGAGAACATAATATAAGCTCACACTCAATTATCACAATATCATAACCCAATTATACTATGAATGAAAATACAATTAGCTCAAGTGGGTGTGTGTAACAATGAGATTAACCTCTTTTATATTATATGAGAAATGTTTATAAGCTCACACTCAATTGTCCAAAAAAGAGGCTTCATCTTCGAGACGTGATGTAAGGGCAAGATCTTGCCACCTCACTACCAAGTTCAATGAAAGAACTTGGTACCAATGTTCTCCATATTTCTCATATATATATGAGAAATATGAAGAACCTTGGTACCAAGTTTCTCCATTGAACTTCGTAGTGAGGTGGCAAGATCTTGCCCCTACATCATGCCTTGAAAAGAGAGCCTCAATCACTATTCACCTACTCCAAAAAAGAGGCTCTATCTTCGAGGCGTGATGTAGGGGTAAGATCTTGCCACCTCACTACCAAGTTCAATGAAAGAACTTGGTACCAATGTTCTCCATATTTCTCATATATATATATATATGAGAATATGCTGAGAACCCTTTAGCAGGCTACCAAGTTTCTCCATTGAACTGGTAGTGAGGTGGCAAATCTTGCCCCTATTATCACGGCCTTGAAAAGAGAGCCTTCAATCACTACTTCATCTACTCCAAAAAAGAGGTTCCATCTTCGAGGCGTGATGTAGGGGCAAGATCTTGCCACCTCACTACCAAGTTCAATGGAAAGAACTTGGTACCAAGGTTCTCCATATTTCTTTCTCTCTCTCTCTTCTCTCTCTCTCTATATATATATTTATATTATATATATATATATATATATAGAAACCAATATAATGTGTGTGCATATGATATTAAGCTTAAAGTACTTAACACACATAATATAAACTCCTAAACTATATTACCCAAGCTATAGGTCTTCAATAAGCTCGACTTGGTAAATTTACGGATGAAGCTTGAACTTGGATCTTCAACTTTGAATAGCAAGGCTTCAACCACTATTCCGCCAACCTCCATTTGATATGATCGTTATGGCGCAATTCATCCATCCTCTAACATATTATTTGCCTAGAATAAATATAAAAATACAAACACTAGACAAACAATATTACTCATAAATTGTTTGTTAAACATCATCAAAACAAAGAGGCTAACAATCTTCCCTTTTTTGATGATGACAAGCAATTTACACAAAGAGTATATATAAAATAAACAATGAAGTACAATACTCAAAACATAAATATACTCACATATTTCTACCCCTTTGACAACATCAAAAAGGGGATATGAACAAAATAGGAAAGCGTAAGCTCCCCCTACCTATAAGTATGGTGAGTATAAAAATAAATAAAAGGGAATGGCTCCCCCTATCAAAATGCCTCATAGGATGTATGAAATAAAGGCTAAGGCAAACATGTGAGTAAGCATAAATAAAAGATATGCTGAACATAACTCATATACAAACAAGACAATGAGAATACAAATTGATATGTCATTATGAAATAATGTCTCATTACTCAAACATAAAAACCATGTATGAATAAATTCATGAAAAACAAAGGAATGGGGAAAACATGAAAACCATGAAAAAAGTTTTCAAATAAAAACAAATCACTCAAATAAAATCATAAATCAAGATTTGAGTCCAAAAACAATGTTTGATCAAAAAAGAAAAAACAAATCACTCAAATAAAATCATAAATCAAGATTTGAGTCCAAAAACAATGTTTGATCAAAAAAGAAAATTTTCTTTGTATAAAAATCAAGATTTGAGTCCAAAAACAATGTTTGATCAAAAAAGAAAATTTTCTTTGTATAACTTGATCAAAACCACTCATAGAAAACATTATAGGGCACGAATAGATGATCCATGAGCACAAACATATAAATATCATCATATAAGCGAAATATAATGAATTCAAAACAACAAATCAAAACACAATTTTTAAGAGAGGCAACAATATCAAGCTCTTGAGCTTGTTTCAACCCATATAAACAATTTTAGTACCCAGTAAACATGATTTGAGAATGAACACCCAATAAACCTGGGGGGGGGGGTTACATAAATATAAACCTCTCATGAAAATTGAAACTCATAGTCATGAAAACAAAAGATTTTGATCAAAAAAAATATTTTCATATTTAAAATTTTCAAAGCATATTTTAAAAACCAAAAAAATAAAATAAAACACTAAGTTCTTGGTTTAAAAAAATTA